TCTATTCTATTCTATTCTATTCTATTCTATTGTATTCTTCATAACTACATCTCTACAGAAATAGAGCACAACAATGACGAAAACTCTTGATTGCATGAGTCAATATTAAAGGGGGGAAAATGACATTGCCATAGTTTTATACTATATAAGCCATCCAACCAAACAGAGGAAATAGATGAATTTTTTGCTAGTCAGTTAACTAAGGCAGGTAGGAAGCACATCAAGTAATTGGGGATTGTAACTACTCTGACATCAACTGGGAGACAAACTCTGCACCAAGTATAAGAACCAACAGGTTCCTGACAAACCTAGCAGACAACTTTGTTTCCCAAAAAGTAGAGAAGAGAATAAGGGGATCAGCCATATTGGACGTAATTCTCACTAACAGAGATGACATGATAGAAGGTGTTGAAGCTACACGAATCTTGGCGGGGGGAGTGATCATGCAATATTGGAATTCAACATCATGCAAGCACAAGCAATAGAACGAAGTCAAACTAGAGTCTTGGACTTTAAGAGAGTTAATTTCAATAAACTGTAAGAGAGCTTGGGAAGGATTCCATGGATAAGAATCCTCAAGGGGAAAACAACTCAAGCTTGGGAAATTTTGAAAAGTAAGGTTATAAAAACCCAGTCTAGTACAATACCAATGAAGAAAAATAACAGCTCTCAAAAGAAACCAGCATGGCTGCATAAAGAACTCTTGACAAATCGAAAGACAAAGGACTATAAAAAAATGGAAAAGGGGTGCATAACTAAAGGAAGAATGTATGGAGGGAAGTATGTCTTCATCAATGATTTGGACAAGGGGATAGATGGGGAACTCATCAATTTTGCAGATGACACCAAGCTAGCAGGAATAGCCAACACTTTGGAAGATAGGCTTAAGATAAAGAAGGATCTTGACAGACTTGAACATTGGGCGCTATCTAACAAAATGAAATTCAGTGGTAAAAATGCACAGGTACAGTATATGTGGTATCTTGATCAATAGTAGTAACTCCAGTAGTAAATGCTCCAACACGGGAAGTTTTTAAGAAGATTGTATAACCATTTGTCTGAAGTGATATAGGGTTTCCTGCCTAAGCAGGGGGTTGGACTAGAAGACCTCCAAGGCCCCTTCCAACACTTATTCCATGTTATTCTATCAATGGCAGCAAATGCTATGTTCACTTATTGTAGTATCACTTGCTTAAACTTTCGTCAGTTTTGGCATTATTTCACTGGCATAGTATTATGATGCCCCTTTTAAAAGAATGCTAGATTCACTCTCTCCTGGTATTCCCCCTCCCCCAGCACTGAAACCAGTTGGTTTGATATCAGGAAATATCTACCCATGTTGGGGCAGAAGTAGTCTGCTTTTCTGGCTGCAAGGTAGGTATGTAGTCCCAGCTGGTAAGTTGGAGCAACGTGATGTGTTTAATATGTCAAAATCTACCAGTGTTGGATATAAGTAGAATAATCCTTTGAAAGCCAGGATTATCTCTAGAGAGAGAACCAAGGTTCTTGTATTCAGAGGATTGCTCTGCTTCCATGGGCTGGGTTGGTGTTCTCTTCATTCATTCTGATAGAATAATTGTTTGGTGGAGTCAACAGGCATTAGGATTCTCACAGGATGGGAGGCGTTTGAGGCATATCTGGCTTTACTGCAGACTTAAGTATCAGAGATCCTTAGGCAGTTTCTACTAATCATACAGATGAACAACCATCTTTACCTCACATGAATAATAGAAAATAGCATGCAACCAAACCAGTGTAGGTTCGTTTCCTGCCTTGATTTTTCACAGTATATTAAAGAAAACTTTAGTGTTAAAATTATTTTGTGATTTGTTTGTCTTTCAAAGGCTTTCCTGCTCATTGTTATGGGAAATCAACCTGCTGATTTTGGGGCTATCCTGAGAGCACTTCAGGAGTCACAGGTTGCTCTCATACGCATTAGATCAATAATTTTAAAAGGCAAAAGAGGCAAGAGTTGAATAGAGGCAAGAGTCCACTGCATTTATTTCAAATTGCATTACATTATATGTTTTATTGTCACTGCAGTGATGCTGGCTGTATACATTAAAAGATGTGATCTATAGCAAGTAGAAATATGTATGGGCACGTCTTATTTTCACGCTTGATAAATAATTTACAAATTCATGGTGCTGAAAACTTTTAAGAGTCATTCTGTGTCGACCTCAATGGTTTAAATAGTTATTTCCAACTCTAGTTTCAGGTTGTTTTATCCATGTGTGAATGCTGTATTTATAATGTACATCCGATTAGCTTACAGAGCGGTTTGATCAATTTGTGCATGGTGTGATTCCCATCCAACTATGATTTATTCAATAAACAATGGTTAAGGAAATTATACTTTGGCACAATGTGCATACTTAAGAATCTGGATCAGTCTAAGGTGGAAATCCTAAAAAAGTAATTCCCAGGGAGTGAATCCAACCAAAGTTGGTGTATTCGTGCAATATACTGGGTTTAAACTACACTGGGGTTGGTTTATAACTCAAACTAACTACAAAGTTGTGTCAACCCAGACATTTTGTACCAGATTTACATAATTTGCTGTATGTTAAAGTGAAAACCGCATTAAATTAACAAAACATTTGACATCAGGTGAATTAAGTTAAACTAGGCAACCCATCTACTTTATTGGGTCACCTTTTCAGAGATATGTCCTTATCTAAACAGAGAAACAGAATGACTATGGGCAGGCAAAAAAGCAGTGGGAGCCGGAATGACCTCTGCATTCCTGCTGGCCTTCCCATTGACTTTTCTTGTGGGAAGGAGACAGGGTGCACCAGAAATCAGGAGTACAGGGCCATGGTTAACTGTGTTGCAGCAGCCACAACTTTACAAATGCAATTGGTGTGAAGATCCTTGAAATTTCAGTTACATAGGAGTAGTGGATTTTGTACATTCTTTACTAGTTGAAGGTTATAAAAAACAGGAAGTTTGGGTATATAAATGGAAACATACAAAACTTTCAGACACCAGAATGAGTGTATAGTAGAATGATTTTCTCAGATTTCTACAGAATGTCTTAACACGCAGAGGCTAGGTTAGGGAAGGCTGCACTATGGTAACAACCCAATTTTTGGTTGATCATTCTCTTTCCTCCTCTCTGTAATAAGTGAATCTTTTGGAATTTGCAATAAATTACAGATAGACATAAAAATATACATTACTTGAGTTAATCCATGTAGCTGATTAAGTATACTAACTTTAACTTATATTTAAATTTGACTTTATTCCTTAACCCAGAGAATATAAAAGACTGCAGAAGAATAAAGAAGCGAGCCAATATATACAACATAAATCATTTTAATGCAAAACAAGTAATCTTCAGTTGACTGGAGTTACCATAGAAAAAAGTGCACAAAGGCAACCAATCTCAAGAAGAGAAGTTTTTTTTAGTAGATTTATTACTTGCATTTATGTTGGCCCTTTCTCCAGTAAGCTCAAAGCAGTGCAATGGTTCTTCCCTGTGTTATCCTTATAATAAGCTATAAAGTAAAATAAGCTGGAAGACAAAACTGAGATTGAATAAATTTAACCATGTTAATTCAGTCTAAACATTCAGGTTTTCATAGCACATTGGGCCATAAACTAAGTTCAAAGATTGGAATTGGTCAATATAGGCTTTATCAGCAAAAAGGACCAGTAATTGTCCTAGAGTCTATAGGGTTTCCTGCCTGAGCAGGGGGTTGAACTAGATGATCTCCAAGGTCCCTTCCAACTGTTATTCATTCTATAATTAATATCCGAGGGATATAATTCAGCAATCTGTGATAATTGGATTGTTTAAAGAACCTGTCTCATCTGGATAGATATAAATTAACGTGCTTTTATCAGCAAAAGTTTGGTCCTTAAATCCAAGTTAAAGCAGCAGAATCATGAAGAATTTTCATCAATAAAAGGTAAAGTTAAAAACTTCCTTCCATCAAGCTCTGGTTGACGTCCAGGCAGTTTTTGCAACATAAATGGATTACTGCCGCCTCCTGCTAGGTCCTTCTCCTGATGGCCTCCCATCCAAGTATTAATTCTGATTCTACTTAGCCTTCTCCAGATTAGCCGCGTTTGATCAGATACAAGAATCTGCTGTAGGGTGTTCACAAATAACATTAAATACAGCACAGTCTAGAGCAAAGGAATGGCAATTCCTCCAACCTGCAGCTGCAAGTGTTGATGGTGGCCGCTTACCTGGCAACAAGGCTACAGGAGATGTATTGATTCAATGCATTGGGAACATGGTCGGTGTTTGGTCCACGCTTACGGCCTTCGACCATTCTTCTGTGTGTTCCGTCTTTTTCATTCTCAGCCATTTCATCCGTGTTTGTGTACACGCATATGTATATACGTGTGTGTAAATATACACACTCACACACACATGTGGGTGAAAAGGCTGAGAATGTAAAAGACGGAGCACATAGAAGACTGGTCGAAGGCGGTAAGCGTGGACCAAACGCAGACCATGTTCTGGATGTTAGAACGACTAAATCACAGGTGTCCAACCTTGGCAACTTTAAGACTTGTGGACTTCAACTCCCAGAATTCCTCTGAGGAATTCTGGGAGTTGAAGTCCACAAGTCTTAAAGTTGCCAAGGTTGGACACCCCTGGACTAAATCAACCTTCCCTGACTTACCGTCCATACGAGGCAACTTTCCCAGCCAGCACCTGGAGGGCGCCAGATTGGAGAAGGCTGCAAGAATAACTTCGGCTCGAGCTCGGACTCTACTGGCGTGCCTCGCGCGCTCATGCGCCCGCGCGCTCTTCCTCCCCAACCCCGGGAGTGCAGCACCGAAGACCACCAACTTGTTCCCCTCAGTTGCCGCCGCTGCTAACCCCGCCTCCCCCTCCCCGCCGCCTTCCACACCTCAGCACCACCTTCTGTTTTTCCTAATCCCGCCCACCCGTCCTTCATTGGTTTTGCGATCCGGTAGCCCCGCCTCCTTATCAAATCTCGCGAGGATCTCGGGTGCTCAGAAGCGGCGGCGGGGGTGGGGGGGGGCACAGCAATCCACCACAGCGAGACTTGGGGGCTGTCGCTGGAGAGTGGGGAAGAGTCCCGTTAGTGTCGGCGCCAAGCGGAGGGGCACGGGGATTTAAAAGGGGAGAGGGAGCTCGGTCACTTTCCCTCCTTTCTCCCCTCCCGAGGTGAGTGTCTTCCGTTGTTTCTGTCACCCCCGTTCTCTAAACCTCCTCCTCCTCCTCCTCCTCCCCTCAAGAAAAATCCTAACTCCTCCAAGACTTGCGAGAAGAGGTTCCGCCTGGCGGTGATTGGCAGCTCAGCCGCGTCAATTAGCGTCAATGGTCGGGAGGAGTGGTGGGCGACTCGGCTAATCAGAGCGTGAAGCTGGAGCCAGAGCCAGCCCCCTTCCCTGGATGTGGGCTGGCCTTCGGGGACTGTGAGGAAGCTCTGAAAAGGGGCCCGGGCGGTGGCCAGGAGGAGGGGCGCGCGCGACCAGGGAGTCGGAGTGATGGTGGGCGCGCGAGAAGGGAAGAGTTGGGAGCAGCCTGGGGAGCTGGCCCGCGAGTGTGCTTCTTGCACACGTGTATGGTTAGGGGTGTGTGTAGGTGATGTATATGTGTATATGACGTGTATGTGTGTGTGTGTGTGTGTATGTATGTATGTATGTATGTGTGTGTATATATATATATATATATATACACACACACACACACACACACACATATATACATATATATATATACACACACACATATATACACACACACACACACACATATACATACATATGTCTCACATCACACATATAATACACACACACATACATGTGGGTGAAATGGCTGAGAATGAAAAAGACAGACAGTACAGGGCCTGAGGTTTATGAGAGGCAAAAACAGCGTCATCCTCAAAGAAGGAGAGCTGAGTGGCATTACTGATCAGAGACAGTTATAGCTCTTGCAAAGACTTCGTGGAAGATATACGTCCCAATAGAGAAACGCTTCCCACCCCCTCCAAACATATTGAGAGAATACTAAAAACACAACGAGGGTGAGTTCTTGTTCAAGGCTTATAAAATACTGTAGAGTCAGTGAATAGCTGTTGGAAAACCCTCCTAGATGGGGGGGGCGTGTTCCATATTGGATGCCCAAGAAGATTGTGCAGAAAACCCGCAGCTGCAAGTTCCTTTGGACACACCTATGAAGTGGAAATAGGGGTAGCAAGTCTCCCATTTTCTGTTTGCCTTTCTGGGCAGTGTAGTTAACGGAGAAGTTGCCAGACTGCCCAGAGAGAATCAATAAGTGAATAGCAGTTGCTTCTCCTTGCTGTGACTATTTGCCTGATTGTCCATGAAATATCCATTCCCATTTGAATGTCCAATCCTTTTGTGAAGGGATGGGGTATCCATAATGCCATACAAAATGGGTTACGAATGGGAAAAGTGTACAGAGATGGCTTCTCCTGCTGTTTTGCTTGTTTTCAACAGGCTGAAAGGGAGGAGTGTTGCTTATATTGCTGTAGGAGCTCCCCAAAGTGGTGCTACTCTGTTGGTACTAGTTCACTTCCTAATAACTGCATCGGCATCAATAACTCTTCTTCATCCCCATCAAATGAGAATTCCCATGTAAGAAAGGAGCCTCACATTCTGTATTACTTGCAGAGTGATGCTTCTGCACTTGTTTAAGGGGATAGGATAAATTACTAGGAGATAGCAAATGTTTGTTCACCTGAACTGGTGGTAGTCAAGAATTTTTGTTGTTGCAGAAAAATGCTGTAAATGAAAATCTTCTCTTTGCATTGTACAGCAACTGAGTAGCTCCGTCCACCATGACAGGTGTCTTTTAAGCTTCTGCTTCTTATTTTTTCTTATAGAAAGGGGTAAGGCTAGCAAGAAAGTGGTGGTCATTACTTTTTAAAAATAACACTCACCTGCCAACTTTGCATAGGGAGGAGGAAGTGATGTTTGTGTCCTGATATGTGCCAGTAAGGAAGTCTAATGGAATGGATAAACATGGTTGTGACAGCATAGAGTGTTGATGGTTGCTGCTTTGCAGCGTCAGTTCGTTAACTGAGAGTGACATTGGTACTACAAAGTTCTGGGGCCTTTGGCAGCAGCCCAGTGACACCAGCTAGAATCATAATGGAAAAGATAGTGTCCATTTGGGAACATTAATTCCATCTTTGTCAACCCTTGATTTGGGTGCAGACATTATTTTCTTTTAAGGAATATTGGAAGTAGATTATTCTTCCTGAATGGCCTTGCAAAAACTTATTTCACATCATCACCATTGTACTAAAGCACTAACTGCAGTTTTTTGTTTGTTTATTTGAATCTAACTAAGACAGTGACAGGCTGGGTTGGAGCTAAAAATATTATACAGATAGTCCTTGATTTATGACCACAAATGGGACCAGAGTTTCCATTGTTAAGCAAGGTGGTTGTTAAGTGAGTTGTGCCAGTTTTCATGACCTTTTTTTGCTATGGTTGATAAGCAAATCACTTCACGTGAATCATGAGGTAGTTTGGTGAATCTGGCTTCCACTGTTGAATTTGCTTGTCCGAAGCCAGCTGGGAAGGTTGCAAACAGTGATTATATGACCCTGGGATGGTGCAAACATTGTAAATACATGCCAGTTGCATATGTTGATTTAGTATATTGATGTCATGTCAGAGTTTTCTCACATTACAGCATTGAATCTTGCTAAATCGAAGTAAAATTACTCAAAACTCGTGAAAAATGCAGAATACAAAAAATATGATTTTATTCAAGATGTTTCCTTTGTACTTAGCCACTTCTTTTGCTAAGAACTTCATAGAGTAGCACTGTGATTTGACAGAGTTGTTTGAGAGCATAGGGTATAATGGGGCTGATAAATATATTGAACTGTTTTGGGGTAGAAATTAATATACTGCTTTCCTAACAAGTGTCAAGTAAGTTTTATTTGTGAATTAAGCATTGTAGATGTGTTAGTTAGGTGTGAGGATTTTAAAGTGTACTTTTATAAAGTTTCGTATTTCACCACAGCTCTGAACCTTTAATACAATAAAACAATGGGAATAATGGAAAAATTGTCCATTCAACCAAATGTTGAATGGCACGTGTAAAATGATCAACCTGTTTTATTCCATTAGTCTACTGAAGTGAAGTTCAGTAAATTAAAGGTTTACTACAGTAAATTCAACTTCTGGTAACTGTGGACATATCCATGTCGCTGTATGAAAGTAGTTTCCTTTGTGTTCTTCCAGACCTTTAAAGTTATTTTTTTACTGTGACTTATCATTATCTTCCCTAAGCTAAGTATCTTCTTAGTAGCTAGCTTTCCAGTTTCCAGAACTCCTAATAGCTGTATGTGCTGACAATTTTTTTGAATAAAACATTTTTTCATGTATGTATATCCTGCTTTCATTATTTTTACAAATAACTCAGGGAGATGAACATACGCAACATACCTTCCTTCTCCTATTTTCCTCACAACAACAACCCTGTGAAGTGACTTGGACTGAGAGAGGGACTGGCCCAAGATCACGCAGCTGGATTTCATAGCTAAGGCAGGACTTAAACTTATGGTATCACAGTTTCTATCCTGGGGCTTTAACCACTAGACCAAACTGGCTCTCTTATCCAGAAAGCGTTCAGGTAGGAAAATCCATGTTGCATCAACTGGGGGAAAAAAATCAGAAACCTTAGGATTTAAATTTTTGGTAACTGTATCTTGTTCCACCTATCAGATATTTCTTATATTATGCATATACCAAGTTATGTAATGCTCACCTGGATGAATAAAAGACAATAAATAGCATTCGCTACTTATAGTCCACATAGTTATCCGTAGCTTAGTAAGTAGAAAATATATTTTTATCAGGTAGGAATATCTAATTAAATCAGTTGTAGAGCAGTGGTAGTCAGCCTGGTCCCTACCCCCCACTAGTGGGCATTCCATGGTGGGAGGGAGGGTTTTTGTCCTCTACTTTATAAATCACCATTACTGTGGAACTGGTGAGCGGTTAAATTTTTTTTACTACTAACAGAGATACAAAAGTGGGCGGTAGGTATAAAAAGGTTGACTACCCCTGATGTAGAGCAAGGATCTTCAAACTTTGCAAGTTTAAGACTTGTGGACTTCAACTTCCAGAATTCCTGATCTAACATGCCTGGAGGAGGGATTCTGGGAAGTCCACAAGTCTTAAAGCTGTCAAGTTTGAAGACCCCTGATGTAGAGATAGCTTTTTGACTGCCTTCTTCTGAAATCTTGTTTAATTTACCAGTCTAGCCTATAAGGGGGATGAGACCAAAATTGGTGACTTGCTTGAGTGCATAGATAGGGTAATATTAGAACTAGAGATTTTTGCAGCTCATATACTTGGCCTTTATTCTAAGCTAACTCTATCAAAATATAATTACTAAGCGCCAAAAAACTGCTAGTTTACTCATCTACTTTCGATCAGGAAAAAAAATAATACTGTTACTCCATTGCCAGGTTACTTTTCCTTCACAGCCAATATGGAAGAGTAAGAATCCCCTTCCTTTTCTGCTAGTACAATAGCTAAGTTGGCTGACAAAGAAAGGACAAAGGTCTTAGTTCCTCTTTAATAGCCTGCTCACTTGTCTGGAGGAAGTTCTATGTGCTTTCCTGCTAACAATTCCTAATTCCCATTGGCAGCCAGGCGGTTAAATATACGGTAATTCCACATGACAAGCCCCAGACTTTGTGGCATTCAAACAAAAGTATGGTTAAAAAAAAATTATTGTTGACATCACTTACAATAGTTAAAGACAAGTAGTCTAGTAGAAAACTCTTGCATGTTCAGTGAATAAATGTATTTGGGTAATAACTGTATATGTATTGAAAATAAATCTGCTCATTCTTGTATCATAGAAGCCTGCAACATTTTATTTAAAACTTGAAAGACATGCTAATGGGGTTTATTTATACTTTATTAAGCCTTAACAAGAGAACAATTATATGTTTCCTCCACATATTTACAATTCTTTTGACTCATAATAATGATTTAAATAAAAGCACTAGACTCGAAATTTGAAAGCCCAGATTACTCCAATTTATTCATGAATTATAAAGTACAGTTTGGGATAGATTTGAAGTGTAGCCTTCCAATTTGAATTAGTTTAAAAGCTTCAGGCTTTAGTATATGCTATATGTTGGTAAAACTTTAAGCAATCAAATCTGT